AGGGTATTCTGGCCAATGCATTAAGCCAGTTCACATTGCATGGGATAAAAAAAAAATAAAAATGTCAGGTCTGTATTTGCATGGGCCCAGCCCAGGCTCAGCTCAATCCCCATCACTCGTGCATGACCCCAGGTCAGCGCCTTTGCATTTTTGGGGCATCCTGATTTCTAGCACACGTGCACAGATGTAAGATTCCTGCCTGGCTGTCATTCTTCTCTGTTTTCAGGCTTATTTAAAAAATCTTTATAGGCTTGCTATTTTATTCTTTTAGAAGCAAGTATTAGTAAACCAACCAACCAAACCCCCAACCCTCTTCTTGGAGGCAGGTTAAAAAAGAGTGACATTTCAGGTATGTTTTCCCTCCACTAGCAGAGAGGAGCAGTCCATTCCTGGCCTTGCAGTGCTTGGCTGGGAATTTGTCTGGTCTTCAACACCACACACCATCACACCACCTTGTGTATTAAAGAAACACATGAGTCTTCCTGGTCTCCAGATAGAGAGATGTCCCTGCATTTTATTTCAGTCTACTTCAAAAAGTTAACAAGGAAAAGAATATAAATAAAAATCCCTTCTTGCAAAAGTGGTCGGGGGAAGTTGGCAGCAGCCAAGTGAGTGGGACACCACAGTGATGGGCAGGAGCTGTGCCCACATCATGTCTGAAGTGCCTTGTGCTACAGCTGCACAAAGGGGAAGGGAGGTGTGAAATTGTGGATGCTCATTCCTGGCAGTGTTCAATGCTGGGCTGGACTGGGCTTGGAGCAGCCTGGTCTAGTGGAAGGTGTCCCTGCCCATGGCAGAGCTTGGAATGAGATGAGCTTAAAGTCTCCTCCAACCCAAACCATTCTCTGATGATTAGCTCTAGAAACAGCAGCTGCTGGTACCTGCTGTGGAAGATTGTGAGTGGCACAGGGGATGCACTTCTGTAGTTGGAGGGGAGCCTGCCAGGCTGTGGGAAATGAGCTCTAGTGAGCAAACAGCAGTACTGGAAGAGCCAATTTTAAGATTGATCTCTGTTTCCTATACACGGACTTCGGGTGGTTTTTTTTTTTTTTTTTTTTGGCCCATGAGAAAATGCACAAAGCAGTGAGTCAGGTGATGGGTGCTGGTTTCAGATGGGACTCCCATACAGAAGGCCAGTGCTGCTGCTTGCCTTGCATAATGCACTCCCTTAAGAAAAGCAGGATTTACCTCCAGGTTTTCTAAGAAAGCAATTACTGGAGAGTGAGGCAGTGAGTTATGAGGGTACATGGCAGAAAGGGAAATCCCTGGGTCCTGGGGGGTCAGTGAAGGGTGACAGCTGCACCTGAGAGACAGTCACAAAGCCTTGCACAGGGAGGGACAAAGGTGATCTTAGGGAAAAAAATACAAAGGCATTATGGTATGCCCACGTCTCTTATGAATACGCAGGCAATGCACACCTGTCTCCCCAGCCTCTGTTCCTGTGTTCCTGTTCATCTTGTTGACCTGCTGTAGGGTCACAGGGAATTAGCCATTATCTCCTTACAGAATTGAGATCTTGACCTGTTTTATCTGTTTTACACAGCACCCAGCGCACTACCAGGCACTCCGGCAATTAAGACCTAATCATGGTATAAATCAAGTAAATAAGTACCAGTCAACAGGTCATCAGGACTGGTGTTCCTCTTGGGCAAAGCTGTGTTCAAGGAGGTCAATGCAGCAAAACGGCCCAAGGCCTTCAAGGCAGAGTGTTTTTCAATAGCCCCTCATGAAGTCTCTTTTGCAGGGGGGACCAACCCACCCTGCCAGTTCCCATCTCCCACCCATTGTGCAGACAAGCCCACCAAAATATTTTGGTATTTCTGTTTTTTTTTTTTTTTTAGGGGAATAAAAAAATAAAGTATTTAATGATAATAATATGTTAACCATCACAGATTCCAAATGAGAGACTTGAGAGTTTTGCTTCCAGTTTAAAAGTGGATGGTTTCTGAACAGGCACGTCCATTCAGAAAGTGGAAATACTGAGGGAAATACTAAGACACAACAGCATTTCTATCCTACTGCTGCTTAACCTCAGTGATGAATGGCAAATACATCTGATCTTGACATTGGAGTCTTAGTGGGCAACCAAGGATAATTTTTCCCATGATTCTAGTGTCAGAACATCCTACTCACATATGAGTGTATAAGATAATGAAAAGATCATTAATTCAATTTAGATCAATTTTGATTAATCACCATGATTAATTAATAATTTAGTAACTAGGAATTAAGTGTGAATTGGTGGAGAACCAAAAGGATAGTGAAAGAAATTTCCCACAAAGAAATGTAGTCTCTTTTTGACAGAGTTGAAAGGCAAATATGAGTTGAAACATTTTTTTGAGTATATACAAAATTTCTGTGTTGTAAAAAAAAATATCAGAGTAACAAATGTGCAGCACTTTAATGTCAGATTTGACTGTCATTGGAACTGTTCACAAGTAGTGCGGACAATCTAAATTATACTTCATTTTCTAAGTATGATATATAACCATTAGGATACTTTAGAAAAACACATCACTGGAACTTGGGCTGGAGAGGGAACAAAGGGAACATCTTTGGAAGGTCCAAGTGGGATTTTTTCAAGTGAATGTTATTCCAATACTTTGCGACAAACAGGAAAAAGTGAGGTCTGTTACACATTTTTCACAGCCTATATATAAACCAGCCTCAAGAATATTTACCTGAACATATATATACAGGTTTGTTTTTTTGTTTTTAATATTCTTAAAAAAGTAGTATTTGCTTGATCTATGACACAATGAACATCTCTACAGGGAAAACTTACCATAGGCATAATAAAATAGCCAAGAAGTCATAAAAGGTAACACGAGAGCAGTGTTTGGCCTTGGTAAAACACATTTAGGATGGCTGCAATGTATGGATACAGCTTTGTTCAAGAAAGGAGCTGTGCATATTTAAAGGTACTTACAAAGCTGGTCTTCTCCTTTCTTTGACATGGGATATGTTTCCTAACGGGATGAATACAAAATCATGGACACCATGCATTGCTGAAGGAAGGCTATGCCCATCTGTTTCACATGTCTGTGTTGCAACGATGGAAGAGTCTCTTCTAACTCCTATGGCTCATAAGTGAAAGAAATGTAGGATTCAGCAAATGGATGTTGAAGGACAATTTCAAGGACTCCATGGTTAATGAATTCATAGGATTCAGCTCCCCATCTTTGTCTGTCGGAACAGATTTTTATATTCTCTATAGAACTGAAATGGTGTAAAATACCTCAGGTCTACAGCCATGCTAAAATGCTCTTCTGATAAAGCTAAACATTTGAAGCAAAGATTGCCAGTGTTATTCTGTATCCTTCTTGCTTAAAATCCCTCTGTGTATGTTGTGGAATGGGTGACTTAAAGCATCTGTGGAGGGAAATAATTACGACACCACTACCTATCACTCCACGTGTTCAAGGGCAGCTTTTTACAGACTCTGGGCAACAAGGTCCTTGGCAAACCAAGCTGGGTCTGTGCAGAGGTCAATGGGTGGATCCAATGCTACTGATATTTTACCTGCAGAGAGGTTTCACCCATTTCAAGACCCCACTTTCCAAGAGATGGTTACAACTGCTTGGATGGTACCACTTCTTGCCTGGCTCTGCTGCCACAGCTGCTTTTGCCCTTGTTACTTCATGGTGATGGATATAGAAAGTTAGAAAAATGCAAATAGAAAAGTTTTTTATATCTTGCAAGTGTGCAAATAAATAGCTGTATGTTTTTATGGGAACTCGACTGAAATTTCTCAATGCCAGCTGTTGCATTCTTGGATAATTCAGCTGCTTTTACATGAATGTCTTTGCTCATAACTAAAAGATAATTGACTATAAACAAGTGTACTATAAACAGAGAGAAAAAAAAAACACAAAGAAAAACTGTTTCCTGGTTGTTCTGAAAAGAAATAGGCAAATTAAGGCAATGACTAGAAAATGAGTGAGTTTTCTATTAAAAATAACCTCTGTTATTTTAACTGTTATTTTATGAAGAACCAAGTGATTCCAATGCTCCTAAATATTTAATGAGGGAAACCAATGATTTCTAGAACTGTTGCTGTCTCCTATAGGAATAACCATAACTAATTCTCTACCCCCAAAGAGTAGATTTTGCATATTGTTCCCAAACTGACCACACTCATGAGCCGTTGAAAGACTAATGCCACCTTCTCAACAAAATTGTTTACATAAACTCTGACCCCTCTGTCAGTATTTTCCAGCTTTTATGCAGGCCTGGGTGGGTAATGGCCTGGATATTTCATGGCAAATTTCTCAAATACAATCACACAAATATGCACTGGAAGAGGGGGGACTCATTCCATTGCCTTCAGTAGGACCAAGAGCAAAATGAAGTGCAGAAGCAAGCGAGCTGACAGTTACTATTTCTGTGATGCCTCCTTCTGAAATCACATCAGCGAATCCTCTCAAAGCCATCCTGCAGAGAAAACTGATCAGTTTTCATTAAATCGCTCTCCTAGGTTTCTCTGGGTTGAAAACTGCTCTGATGTTTACTTTCCCTCATCATCCAAAGTGAATGTTCAGAGGTGAATAGTCCTCGCTGCTGCCATCTCCCTGTGCTGGGGTGGGGTAGTCAGTGCAGCCAACAGGCAAGGGATAGAGGGAAGAAAACTGATGCTTGGACATAACATAAAAGCTCCTCAGTATGGAAAGTCAAAATCTGTTTTGTTCTACAGAATTACTAGGTTTCGTGGCTTGTATGATATCTCAGTGGAGATATTATTCGCTTCCCAGCATTTTTCTCATAACCACAAATCATACCCACAAATAAAAAATATCCCTTCAAAACCACTTCCTATTAGCAGAGCATACCTTATATTATAAAACTTGCAAGTAGACCAGAGTTGTACCATGAAGCCTATACAGCATTTTTTTGTCTTTTTGTTTTCCCAGTGTAAAAATATACAATGCTACTGCTCATTTCCTGCAGTGTAAAGGTCCAACTGGTCCTTGCCTGCTGAAGGCTCCACTGCTACTGCCCCTTCATACCTCCCCAACCCAGACCACTGTGTTACCCCTCCTTATACCTGAAACCTCACAGCGTAATGTATTTTGCCTCCCATTTATAACAAACAAGGAATCTTTAGCTGGTGTAATGAGATACTGTCCAAATAATCCACTGTCTTTCATAATTCTGTTGTAGCTGCTCCAGGGCCAGTCTTTGGACGTGATGGGGTCCTTTAAATTCTTCAGCAGATTCATTCTCCCCGTTGACAGCTCTACAAAAAGCACATCTGTTTGCAAATGTGAAGTAGCATATACATAGTACTGATTGCCTTCAGTGAAGGAGGGCTGAAATGTCAGATCAGACACGTGTATGTTTGTTTTTAAGTCATAAACCAGCTTGATTTCCCCTCGGACAGTGAGAGCCTGGACTGTGATCCTGCCGCTGCCCTGGTCCGCGCTGACCAGGTACCGCCCGTCCGGCGACACGTGGGGCGTGCCCGACACGCGGCCGTTGGGGCCCACGACGGCGTCGGTGACGCTGTCGATGACGAGCTGCAGCGAGGCGGCTGCCGAGCGGTTCCTCCTGCACTGCACCAAGTAGTAGCCACCCAGGTGAGTGTACGCCATGGCCTGAGGCACGCAGCCGTAGGCTTTCAGGTGGATGGTCTTGATGTGGGTCACAGTCTCCAGGTCAATCTTGTGAACCGCGTGTTTTGAGCGGTTAAAAATGAAGCCAAACCTGAAACGGAAAACAAGGCACTGAAGTCACCTCTGGAGACATGGTGACATGCTTGAACAGAGACGAAAGTCAGCAGAATTGGGAACCTTTTACTCTGTTGGTTTTGGAAGTGTGCACAATAATGCTGTCTCTTTTTGTAAGAAATGTCTTTGTTTTAGTGCTTCTACAACATCCCAGAAGGAGGGATATATTTCAGTTCAAATTAGCAACCTGATCATGGAAATTTGAACATGTGCTTAGCTGTTTGAATCTTTGAGAGCCAAAATTTTTATTGGGAAGACCAATTTCTATAGAAGTGATATCAAGGTTTGGGTGTTCAATAGGCTAACACTGACCAGGTTTGTGTTTAATCTGTCTGAGATTACAGTAAGGAAATTCAATATATACACAAGCACTCCATCTCAAAATAGGAAAGCATTCAAAATAAAGCATATTGATGCCAGACTGGGGCCAGAGAGTAACTATATATAATAAACATAGATGTGTACAATATAATTTATAACCACTGAATGAAGACCATATCTAATCCCATCTCTTAACTGACAGCACCAGAGGGAAGCTGTGGTGTGTGTTTGGTACCCGTGGTGCCTGGGAACCCCTAGAGGAGATGGCAAGGCTGTGGTGCAGAGCAGACTCTTAAAAACCATCCTGCCAGCCCAGGGAAGGTGTAAAACATTTCTTGAGGAACATAACCAGGGTGCCCTGAAGATAAGGGGTCTTCATTTTCTGTCTCAAGACAGGGCAAAAAACAGTGAGCAGAGGATAAATGTTCTGTAAAAGATATATACTGCAGCACATCTGACCTTTGCTGAAGACAAGAAAAGGTCAAGAATAGCCAAGAAAGGTTTCTGCTTAATTTGAGAGGGAGCCCTTAGAAACAGCCTGCTTGTGTTCCACTGGATTCACTGACACTGACTTACAAAAACTAATTTTACATCGACTATGTTTCCATCCATTCAGTGCAGAGAGAGGGAAATGAAGTGAGCGCTTAGTGTGGTATCACTTCCTCAGAAGATGCAAAATTGCCTTGTGAAATGTGGAGGACAATGTGCTTCTGTGCAGAAAATACATATTTTGCTTGAAACACTAGGTTTATTTCTTTATTCTTAATCCATCTGTCAATGAGACAGTCAGCAATGATGTCACTTCTGAAGAATGAGCCGGTGTACTGTGTGATCCCATGAAAATCACTGGGCTAAGCCTTCATTTCCCCATTATACTCATATCCATTAGAGACTTCACAAAGTATCTGCAGTGGAGAGTCGTAGTGCACTGTGTGTGTGGAAATTGGATGTGACACTTGTATTTCTCCTGGATGAATGAATTTTAAGTACACTTTAAAAAGTGCTTTCCCTTACAGCTTTTTTTTTTTTTCCCCCAAGACTTCCTTAATACTTGGCCAAATGCCTGAAGAACTTAAGAAATTACTTTTATCATAAACTTCCGTTTAAAGAAGTGGCTCAGGATATATTTTATGTGCCCACAGTTGCAGAAGAGGCTCAGTCCTTGCATGAAATCTGTGATCTAAAAATCTCAAAGCAAACCTTGCACTTAGAGAGTTTTTAATAGACAACAGTCTACTCTTGGAACTAATAAAAATGGATACATTTCTAGATATCCATCTAAAATAAGAGGCAGCTGAAATACATATGCAGGAGTATTTGCATACAAACATTATTTGGCTAGTGGAAGAAATTGCTTAAATGTTCACCTCCCTGGGAAAGGCTGGTACTGCCATTTATTGTTTCCGAGTGGAGAATTTAGAAAATCATCTCAATGAGTCTCATTAGCCTGCAAGCAATTATTTTTTTTCTGTGCTGAGGGTGAGAGGGAACGGACAAAGATCTGGCCCTGAACAAATGCAAGAGGAAATCAGGGACAGCATCTGCAGCTTTGCATACAGAAAACCATGGGCAGTAGTCTATATTTATTATTTCAGCCAACTAATCACACTGAAGCAAAAGGGCAATTAAACAAACAAAAATGTGTAACTGTTCCACCTTCCCATCTTTGAATCCAGTTCTCACCTTTTCAGCTCAGGCTTTAACATTCAGCAGAGCTATCTATGTCCTACCACTACTATTAGCCATAATGAAATTGTGGAAGAAAACTGGAATTATGAAGTAGAGAGAAATTACAAATGACAGCCTTGAGGCATGCATCATTATTTTGTGTTTCAGCAGGCAAAATTATTTATTTTGGAAAAGACTCAACACATAATCATTTAAGTGTAACCCCTTTTCTCTTGGTGTTTCCTGCAGGAAACCTAAGATGACTGTAAAGAGTTACATTTTGTTTTTTGAGTGTTTAATTTAGTTAAACTATATAGAGAACAGAAGATGGTTAAACAGTTGTTATAACATGGAAATAATAGTATAAATTGCTGTGCAGTTATCATCAATTTTGATAATGTTAATGGGAAGCTTCCTGTGCCTGCTGGGAAGCAGCCAGTATTACTCCAGGTTATTAGTATGTTAGTTACACAACCTCATTAACCACTACATCACGTTAACATTCAAAACTGATAGTTCATGGAGGTTTGTTTTTCTATCTGCAGTGCATACAATTTTTCTGCTCCAGCCATAAAGCTCACACAGAGATCCAATACTTGAACAAGTTGGAAACATGTGAAAGAACCATTTCTTATGCTTCAGGCAGAGGACACTTTTACCACATCAAGCAATGTATCCTTAACACAGATTTCTGCTCAGATCTGTAACAGTTTTGCGGCAATGAAGGTGATTTTTGGGCCATCAAATTCCTGGCACAAGGATGCTAGGGCAGTGTGCCATAAGCTGCAAGGAGGGATGGCTGACTAAGGTGGGGTTTGAATGCCTGTGCATGGTCTAAGGGAAGTCCAGGATTGTTTCTTGCTGTTTCATTGATTAGCTGAATAACTACTGGCAATTTCCTCAACTATTTCTCCACTTCATGTGTGAAAATGGGGATAAATGTAGTTAAGATTCATCACAAATTCATTTATTCATTCACTCATTCATTCACTCACTCATTTCTTCATTCATATCTGTAAAGTGCTTTAAGGTTATGAGAAAGGAGCAGCATGGTCACCATTATTATTCATTAAAATAATTTCTCACCTAACATGATTAATAATAAGATTTGTAGGTGGTATAAAAAAATCATCCACTCCTTCAAAGGGTGTGTGGATAACATGTGGATCCTCTCCAGTGCTTGCGTCTGGAATCACCTACAATAAATACACACAAGGTTGAGCACAGGATAAGCACTGAGTGAGGCAGAAAGGTAAATACAGATTAGAGAGGTGCACGGTACCGAGTGGCTCTTTCCAGGCTGTAGCAGACTCAGCTGATTAATGATTTCAAAACACTGTTTGGTGTAGTTGTCTTGAAAAGGTGTGCTAGCAAATAGTATTTGAGGCATGACATTTGTAAGGTAAGTACACAATTTGACTTTTATAAGTTGTTTACATCTCGAGAAGGAGCAGCCAAGCAGGAGCTGAAGCAGTATGACAACAGTAGGACCATAATAATTTATCCCTCACTGTCTAAAGTAAACATTTACTTCGTGGTCATATTTATTAATCTCGCTTTAACCCACAGTGATAATTTACCACCCTGAAGGATCAAACACTAAGTCACAGCAGTTAATTATCACTTTGAAGGAGAAAAACTGTTCATCCATTGATATAAAGTCCAGGGAGGAGTGGAGAAGTGCCCTTTGGCTGTCCCCTGGTCCTGTCCTCCAGCACAGCACAGATCTCCATGGACAGGGGAACTCAGATCCGCCATTGATCCAGAAGGGAAAAGTTTTCAAAAATTAAAATGTTAAATACTCAAATTGTTTGCTGGATTTAAGATGACTTTAGTCCATTCATTAGGACCTTCTGCTGCTCTAATCTGCAGCAGTTGTTGCTTTGAATTTATAGCTACATAACTCATGAAAGACATGCTAAATCCCTAAAAGGTTTATTTCAGACAGCTGTTCTGGTCATGCCACTTAGATTTCTTCCAATTAGATTGCTCAAGAAGGATGCCCACCCTAGCACAGTGCTTTCAGGAGGCCAGACATTTGCTTCCAACAAGCCAGTAATGGCCAAACAACAGCATCTCCTTTGCTGATTGCACAGGCAGTTTGATAAATCCCTGACTTCAGAGGAATGGAAATTTAGATCAACCTCTGCAGCAGCATCTTCATTAAAATAAGGTATTTTACTGCAACCAAAGACTGCAGGTTTTAAGAAGGAACTTTGCCGTATTTGTCACTGCCCACCTTTTGGGAAAGAAGGTCAGAAAAAAGAAAGGATTTGCTGCTGCTGATGCTAATCTCATCTCTATGTGTGTAACTGCACATCATAAAGATAACAGAAAGGACTATCTGAGACCTGGAACCTTCTAACAAGTTTCCAACTGTGCAGATGGTGTGTTCTCTCTAATAATGACAGGCTTGTGCCATCTCTCCTTTAATTACAGAAACTTCTCACAGCTGGATGGAAGAAATTAAGTCAGAAATGGTAAAAAGAGCCCATTTTGTCTCCTTATACCCTGTACAGGAAACTCACATCCCCAGGTGAGACAACCTGGTGCTGCTGCCCTGGGAACCTTCCTTTATATGCCTCCATTTTGGTTTTGGCATCTTTTCCTGAAATTGCCTGTGATGAGTAGCTGGTCCATTTATTATTGACAATCAGCACTGGATGAAGCATGTGGATGGTGGTGATGGCCCATTCCATCTTCATGGAACAGTATCTCCAGTAGAAGCCTTGGGTAGCCCCACAATTAATGTAGCCTCCAATTTGTTGGTTTTTAGGTCAGAAAGCACAGCCCCCCTTCTTCTCTGCCTGCTGGGGAATGTTTTAATGTAGACTTAGCAGCAAACACTTCTGGCAGAAGGAGTATTCACATGACACCTCTTTCCAGAAAGGTTGGGCAGCAAGGGCCAGAAAACACCCACCAGAGAATGGGATGTCTGGATGGATCAAATCAGATCCATCAACTGGTGTCAACTCTGTCATACAACATACAGCAGCAGAAAAATGCCCCACTAGATGGGAATTCTCCATGTTCTCTGTACTGTCAACAGAAGAGTAAGTCTGCCAAGGTGATCCAGAGTGGAAGCTAATTTGGCTGTCCAAACACATGTGCAGTGCTGTGTCCCAGTGTCACTGTGGGTCTGGTGGTGCTGAGCATGGAGGAGTTCCATGGATTTCACTGGCACCCCTGCACTGGAATCACTAACACTTAATAACACAATTTGTCCCTGAGGTTTTGCTTCTCTTTGTTTGGTTTTCTTTCTTCATGATCGAGAGAGCTCCTTCTTGCATTTTACTGTGATTGACTCACAGAATCACAGAATCGCAGAGTTGTTAGGGATGGAAAAGCCTTCTAAGATCATCGGGTCCAACTATTTCCCCAGCACTGCCAAGCCCAGCACTGAACTGTGTCCCAGGTGCCACATCTACAGGTCTCTTCAACCCTTCTAGGGACAGTGACTACACCATTGCCCTTGGCATCCTGTTCCAGGGCTTGACAAAGTTATCAGTGAAGAAATTTTTCCGAACACCAACCTCAACCTCCCCTGGCACAACTTTAAGCCATTTCCTCTTGTCCTATCACTTACATGGGTGAAGAGACTGACTTTTATCTGGCTCCAACCTCCCTTCAGGGAATTGTAGAGACTGATAAGGTCCCCCCTGACCTCCCTCAGCTGCTCCTTGTCAGACTTGTGCTCCAGACCCTTCCCCAGCTCTGTTGCCCTTCTCTGGACACATCCCAGCACCTCAAGGTCTGTCTTGTAGTGAGAGCCCAAAACTGAACCCAGGATTCAAGGTGCCTCCCCAGTGCTGCAGAGCACAGCAGTCTTGTCCTGCTCACAGCCAGCTGCCAGCCCTTGCTGTGTAACTTTTTGGCACTCGGATCTGTCACCACTCTTAAAACAAAACAGACCTTGGCACAAAGCAGCCCTGCTGTCAGCCAGTGGCACAGTCATTGCTCAAAAACAAATTAAACAGCAGGAAAAATATGTGAGGATGGACAGAGGAGGGATGAATAAAACACACTGGATATGCAAATGAAACAGCAGCTTTATATCCAGACCATTAAATGTGGCTAATTACCTGCAACCTACCAGCCACCAGGAAGAGTAAAGACACCAAAGTGTAAGGACTTACCTGCAGTGTGGGTGATGATTTCCTCATGTCTCCCCAGCTGAGTACCCACACTTGGTCGTGGGACTTGTCATAATGTAATTTGGTTGGTAATGGGTCCACATCCAAGGACTTAAAAAAACCCAGAGAGAGTTATTTACACAGTGACTCCAATGAACATGACAAATATTACACCAGTTCACTGCAGGCATTCTCATGCACCACTGTTATGTTCCCTGTGCAGCTCTGCCTTCAAATCAAGTGGGGGATCAGCAGCAGTTGAAAAATTTGGCTGTTTGGTGCCATTTTCTGGGTAGACATCACTCCATCTAATGCTGTTACTTATAGCCAGTAGGGCAAGGGCCAATTTCTGCCTGAATTGTACCCACACCAGCTCTTTCCATTTATAAGCATTCTTTCCAAACTGCTTATAACCCAGGTGAGGCAGCTAAGCCAGGAATTCATCCCAGTGTTATTTTACCAGACTCACTGTAAGCTTGGCTGCAGAGGCAGCCCTGAGACTGTGATCTCCAGCCCACAGAGAAGTTTATTTCTGCCAGTGAGGTCACAGAACAGTGACTTCCATGTGATGCCACTGGTGAAAGCAACATAGGCCCAGCTCTTTATTGAGCAGCAGATCCACTGGGCAAAAACCTGATTTTTTTGCCCTATATCAAGTCTTTTGCATCAGTGAATAATGTGTTCACTTGTAAGTACCTGTATGGCTTTTTGAGTCTGGATATCAATTATCATTACTCTGTTCTGCTTTGGCTGTGTCACATAAATGTACTTGTCTCTGACATTGACTGCTGAAGCCCAGAGGCAGGACTGAGTGTCTTCACCTTCCACTCTAGGACAGATCTCCTCCTGAGGGGTTAAAAAAAGAAAGGTTTAATTTTTACAAGTTCAGGGCCTGGAGCAGCAAGAAGCTTAGCCTTGTAAACTGCAGGAAAAAATCCCTGGGGATTCCATTAGGATGATATTTCTCCCCTTTCTTTCCTGGAAAATATGAAATAATTAATTTATCAGGTACCACACTTCAGCCTGGCTCTATGCAATGACATTAAACAATTGGACCTCCTGCAAACTTATATTGAATTTAAATAACCACAGAGCCTATGGATTGATTTTTTGAAGCACGCTGTGGTTCATCAAGACTTGCAATGCTGTCAGCATTTATTAGCAACAGAACTATCACTCTGTGCTTTGAAAAAACAGTGATTTACATTAATTGAGTCACTGCTTCATATTTTTCAAAAAGTCTTAATTTTCTGCATAGGAGTTTGAAGAGTCACTTTTGGTCTCAACCAATAAGAGTCACTTTTGGTCTCTGCATCACTCCTCATCGCTCTTCCTTGTGTCAAAATACTTTATTTGAAAGAGCATTTGTGTGGGCCAGGCTGTGGGGAGGAAATGGGGTAAAATGAGAATGAACACATAAAAATTTCAGTGAGCACAACTGTTGATTTTAGACCTTATGTTGGGTAAAATTAAGTAATGGCCCAACCTATCTAAGGGAAATGTGATTGGAAATGCATCAGCGCTTGTTCAGGGACAGAGGAGGTACAACAAAAAACAATGTCAGCATTGTGCCTGACCTGGAGGAACAGAATAGAATATTCTGAGCTAGAAGGGACCTACACCATGTGCAATAATTATGGACAGAAAGCTGTCACATCTAAGCAGCACAGCTCTGCTGGCTGAGTGTCTTGGTGGAGACCAGAAGTAAGGGTTAAAGATAAAAGACTTAATAATTTGGCTGCATTTTCCTTTCTGTTCCTCCAGCCAGGCTGGGAATCCACACTAAAAGCTAGAAGACAATACAAAAGCCCAGACTTGGGCTTCCAGCAGCCATTCACGTAGTCAGGCACCTGCCAGCCTTCACACTGCTCTCCTCATCCTCAGCTCTCACAACACAGCATCCACCCAAGCCAAGGGGAGCAGGGAAAGGTTACCAGTCTTTCTGCTACAGGGCTCAGCTGCAGCTGCTCCACCTGCTTCTGGGCCCTCTATGAGCAAATGAAGCAACCTTTTTTGTAGATCCACTCCTAAAGTTGGGCTGCTGTCACTGTCTATGTAGCAAACACCCAAGATAGTAAAAGGGAAAAAATGTCAGCTGTCCCCAGACCAAGGGAAGGGTCCTTGGAGATCTGTAGGAATCCCTCATAGGTGTGTCTCTGAAGAGCAGCCAAGTGATGTTAAAACTCCCTCTTATGCACACCAATGTGTTGACATTATTTCCTTAAGTGTCCTCTCTGTTTTGTTCTTTTCGATCTACTTCTCCAGGACCACCTCTTCATTATTTACAGTTCTTCAGAAAAGAAACACAGGATTTCTGTCTTAGTAAAGCTTAGGTGTGGCTTAATAGCATTAAGTCCATGGTAAGGACTAGCCTTGGAGTGAGCATCAGTCTGGAGTTCTTCTAAGGTATATTAAAATCTAGTGGAAAAAAAACTCAGTATCAAGTACAAATTTATTAAGATTTAGAAAATACTTCCTATACACTCATAAGATGCAGAGCTGGACCCAGCCTGCAGGGCTCATGACAGCGATTCTAGCCTTTGATTCCTCCCAAAACTGAAACCAAGGCTGAGCCCTTTCTTTCAGAAGAATCACATTCTTCAGCCACATTTTCAACTTCTCCTTTTAAAAATTAGAAAGTAAGTAAAGGAGTAACTAAAAAAGCATTTCTGGATGTATTTCAGCACCTGTGGTTTTTTTAAGACCTGACAGTTTCATGAGGATATGCCTGCTGTATGTTCCTGTGCAGGAGTACATAACAGGTCACTGAGAACACTGACCTCACAGAGCCTCCAGGCACGTGTTATCCCACTGGCCATGTTGAGCTCCACTGCCTACAAGCCAGTGCTTGACATTTCTGACACCTGAAAAAATTTTCCTTGTAACTCCTAAAGGAAGGGTTAGGTAAAATTAGAGCAGACAGAAAAGTGCCAACAGCAAACACAGACAGTGCAGTCTCTCTCTCAGTGTAGAAGACGCAGAGGATCTTCATGGCACAACCATTTTCTGGGCATTCTTATTTGCCTCCCTGCTGCAGTTTAACATGGCAAACCACTTCCAAAGAGCAGAAAGTGGCCCATGGTAGCTCACTTTGCCTATGGAGCCATCAATAAAAGGAGCACCAGTGAATGATGTGCACATTTCTCTGCTATTGACTTCTGTACATTCCCTAAAGCCCAGTTACAAATTTGGGGCATGGATAAGTAAACAGATCAGAAGGACAAATGAAAATCTTTGCTTTTGTGATAACTAGTCAAATTCTCTGCAGTAAATCCTCCATGTCAGCCTTAGAACTTATGTGGATCCCCTGATTTTCAAGAGAAGATGCTATACCTCAGGGATGCTGCATGAAGCCCACCAAGCTCCAACATCCCCGTGGCAAACAGGTCCTTTAGCAATAACAACCTTTGAAGAGATTAAGAGAAAGTTTCCAGCTGTCAGCTGTAGCTGCTGGGTTCAGGACTTACATAACTTGTGAAAATCCTCTCTTCAGGCCTGATATGTCTCCGGATTTCACATTCGTTTGGCTGAAGGACTGTGATCCCGTCATCAGAAAAGACATAGAACATATTCCCAACACTCAGGCCTTAAAGGGGGATAAAGAAGAAAGATTTTTTTTTGGTATGTATCCATAGATGTTAGGACTTTTTTAAAGAACTTGTCCTCCTCTCCCGACAAACAAAATCTGCCTTACATAAACGTTGGTCATTTGGATGCAGTTGGAGCATTCACAAAATCAAATTTCATGTCACAACAAGGGCTTCAAGGAGTGAAGAGGTACAAACACATTCAAAAATGCATTGCCTTGGTGGCGGTGGTTGTACCCAAATAATTATGGCTGGGTCTTGTAAATAGGTACCAAAACAGGATTTGATCCCAAGAAGCCTCTCTGTTGCACTGCTATCCCCCTCTGATTATGAATCTGTTTTTTTTTTTCCTATGATTTCATTAAAAACAGCTTGATAATAATTTGAGAACTGAAAGACAAGCTTTAGTTAAAATTAAAGTGAAGGTCATCCTGTTACAGGCAACTTGACTGCTGGTAACTGTGATGTTAAATGGAAGTGTTTAGCATCTGCACCATGAATGAAAATATATAGAATTCTCTATTTTCTTAAACTATCTGAAAGAACTAACTACAGCCACCAAAATAAATACATTTTTGAAATCTTGCAAACCGTAATTCACAAATGTGGAGTAGTTCAGCATTGCATTAGCACTCATTTATCCAACCAGGGCATTCCAGGCGATTTGGAAAACTGGCTGATTGTCATTGCTTTGCCATTAGGAGATTGTGTTTTATCACTTCTGTCATGCTACATAGAATTGCAGTGACAAGATCTTTAAGAAATGTTCAGGATCCTTTCAAACACTCTAGTTTCAAAGATCCAATCATTCCATTTTTTACACCACCACCAGTAAGTGTTTGCAATGACCACTGTCACCCCTAGCAGTGTTGATAGTGTACCTTATCTGCCAACAATATGGTGATGCTATAATTTGTATCTTCTAATTAATTTCATTTTTCCCATGGAGAAATAAAGTCCCCATTCTATGGCTCTGAGCAGTGTTCAGTGTTAAAAATTCCCTTTGCTGGTCCTGTGGTGGCAGCTCTAAGTGCTGCTCACAGAGACAGTTTCTCACATTTCTTAACTGTCTGCAGGATTGAGATCTAAATCATCACAGGAAATTTGACAGTAAAAATATGGATAATTTGGACAAATGCGTTTTTGGAAAATTTTGTAAAACACGTTGTATTTAGTAAGGCTAGAAGGGTGTTTTTGTTGCTAAGCCCCCTTCTTTTAATGCCAAATAAGTAGCTTTAGAGAACAATGTGTCAGCATGTGGTGTTTGCTGTACTGAGATGGTTCAAGTTGAGTCTCTGAACCACAGCACAGAAATCCCCCAGTCAGGGCATCAGGTGGGTACAAGAGCTGTGATCCTCAAATGTGATCACACAGGGCAGGATCATGCACGTAGGAAAAACGCTCCATTGGGAGTTATTTCATGGACTAAGGGTTGTTTTTTCCCCAAGTATATTGGTAATACATTTCATTCAGGCACTTTGGGCCAAAACCTGCGCTCCCAGCATCCACACAACTCCCACCTGCTTAGTGGGATTTGATGAACACATCAGAGGGCAGAATTTGACCCCGGCCTGGAATGAGTGCCGACATTTCATGGGTAAAGGATTTTAATCCTAATAAGTGAAAACAGGCAGGCAATCAATTATGACTACTGTGAAGATGCTTATTATTATTTTCATGCACAAGAGTAGCGTGATTTTGTCTGATGATCCTATTACAATGAGGGTGTATTTAAGAAGACTTTAATTACCCACAAAAATACTTTGATTAAAAATTTTACCTCAACAGGTTTAGAGTCAGAGACTTGGCAAGTTCTACTACTTATTTTACAGTAAAATAAGTCCAAGTTTTTCTGCAGACTGATTAAAATATACTACAAATTCCTGAGAGCATTCAGTTACTGTCTTTTAAAAAAGTTTGTCTGTTAAAATTAAACCACTTTTTTCCCCCAGAGATTGATCTTCATACTGATATTTAGACCAAGAAGGATTTTACTAGACAAACTAGGTGTTTTATTCTGACTTATGAAACATTTGCCAAATCTTGGTTGGGGTACATCCTAAACAATCTCATGGACATCAGTAGAACAGACTCAATTTTTGACTATACTGACGCAACTCCTTGGGGCAGGAAATTGGGAATTATTTCAGTACAGAGGTGGGCAATGAGTTATTTTGTGTTTTTTATAGTAGTGAGGCAGGTACCAAATTGGGAACTGGGGGACTAATGAGGATTTCTTGAAATTTTTTTTTTCCTTTTGAATTGAGGACGTTTCAAGTTAGATGACACAACTGGTTCAAAACCTAAAGGCATTATGAAAGGCAAAATACTTCACCTGTATAGCAAAATATCATTAACACAAAAAAAAAAACCCATTAAGAATGGGGAGGGTTTCCTAAACATAACAGTTCTCATTTGATCCACTCCAGATGAAGTTGGCTCTAACAAAAAAATATTGGGAGGACATCTGATATCAACAAGAGCTTATTTGAGAAATACAGTGTCTCCCTGAGTGTACATTTATACATCCCTCCTTTGAGATCAAAGGGCAAATTTTTCACCATGGAACACTCTCCTCTTAAATAGTTTTCCTCAACTTAATCTAAATACCTGGAAATATTTTAGAACTTACATTTAGTAATGAAAAGGCTTTCAGCTTTTTAAATGCATACACTCACATAACTGCTGATTGGCTGCTGGCACAAAATTCTCCTTTTCTCCAGGTATTAAGTAAGCAATGCTCACTACAGAAATGAACACTGTCATTAAAAAAAATCTCTGCTTTACATTTGGACTGCTCATGGTTTTCTCTGGACAAAATTAAAAACTATTTGTACACTGAGTAAATACTGCATGTGTTTCCAGCCCCAGGTTTAACTGGCTGGTTGCCCTATGTCCACTCATTTCTTGAGGCATTGCTTGTGCATGGTCTGAAAGGTTTCGAGAACAAACTGACAGACTGACTTTTAAAATGACCAAATACTTGTGTTAAAAGTTTGACTTACAGCAAAAGTTTGTTCTACACCATATTTCGTTTAGGCATTTTCCCAAGGTTTTAATTACTCCAGACCTTGTGGGGATGAGGTAGTGATCATTTTAAATGAGCTCAAATCTACCAATACATTCGTTAATATTGCCACTTGCACATAGTAAGGAACTGAAAGAATATATTAAAATGTAAAAAAAAAAAAATCATTCTTCTAGCTTTGTGCCAAGATTTCACATGCTGAAGTATATCCTAGAATGAATGTGCCCATCAAATATTACAGAACAACGGAAGCAAGGTAATAAACCTGCTTTACTGATACTGAATTCTTTAGGAACATCAACAGCAGATCTGCTTTACTGGCCATGTTTTGCCTCAACATTGCTTATACTTTCATTTAAAATGTGCAAGGTTGATAAGCAGTAAGTCCATTTATTTAGCAAAATTATAATAAGACTTTCTGCAACCAACTTCTCAGCTGTTCTTTAAATATTCCTCAACTTCTACATCTGGTAATCCTACATATGTAGGATTATCCAGCTGCTTTCTTTAAAAAGGAGCATAAGGGACACTATAGAAACAGCCATGGAGCATCGTGCAGGTGATGCTGGACTGATGAGATGCATCAGAGATTTCATTTCCAAGCAGAAGGGAAATAGCAATTCTTAGTGCCCATAATGCCATTTACAGGAATGTCAGCAGTGAAGACTCCTCACAGCCCTACCCCAGGAACCTGCAGGTGGGTATTCAGAAAGAAGTGCTGGGGAGCTCTCCCAGGGGACTGTGCCACCTCTCTGACCTCCAGTGAGCAGCATTTGCCTTGGGTTGGAAGGGACTCTAGAAATAAACTAGTGTATTTGCTCTGTGTGTCTGTGGCCAACAGGGCACTGACAGTGTGCACCAGGTGTTTGCACACCTGGCCCAGGCTGCCCCGGCCACCACGCCCTGGCACCCTCCTTCTGCCCCAAAATCCATTGTGCCAAGCCCAAGCTACCCAGAAAGCTTCCTGCTGAGGGCTGGAAGGCCAGCTTGTTTTGGAGTAGCTGGAGGCTCTACTTACACAGGGGCTTTGCACCCTCCAAGAGCAGAGTGAGCCTGAAGCCCTTCTTGGAGGAGCAGCGTGAGGGGGTCTGGGTGTTTGCAGGGGGACACGGCTGAGAGCAGCTTGTCACTGCACAGCAACCTTTCCCACACAGCCTGAAGGACACCAAGGTCTCAGCTGCCTCATAAGCAGCTGGCAGATGTAAGAATTGGTTTTCAGCTGCACTTCAACCTCAGAACCTCCCTCCAGGCAGTGTGTGTCCTGCTCACAGCCCTCCAGGAGTCCAAGGTCACAGGGTCCCCTCTGCACACCTGGACTCCACACCTACAGAGTCAGATGGACAACGTGTGTGAGAGCTCCTTGGGCTGCTGCATGATGCTTCCTACTGGGTATTTTGGAAATTATGACAGCACAAGCATGTACAAAATGAGGTGATTTTAAGGGTCTCCATGATATCTTTGAGTCAATTAGTTGCTCAGGATGGTTTTTTTTTTTTTTACTTTGGCTTCCAAGATACGCAGTTGTTGACCTTGTGAAGGGCACATTGTAAGTTTGATCAAACTAGAGCTCTTAACTGCCAATTAAAACAAGAAGAAATGGGGCAACTTTTACCCTGCATCGATTCAAAGGACAGAGGGAAGAAAACCTGTTGTGGTTTGGATTTTTGTTTTGCCTAACAGTCAAGACCACAATTTCTGTTGCTCACCTAGAAAACATCAATATATGCTACTGAAAAGGAAGAGCATGAATTGCTTGCTTAAAAATGCAGTATATTGAATTTATGCCCTACTTGTTCAATTATGGTAATTTGGGAGCACTTCTGATGATTGTGTGATTGCTAATGCAGGTTGAAAACCTCAGGCTACTCACATTTCTGGCAGTATATATAAAATTCATATTTTTATATATTTTATGGTCATCTATTATTTCATAGTGGGAAAATGCAAGAACTTATAGGTACAAGAGTGATGTCTCTTATTTGAATAATTTAGCTTTTAAAAGTCTGGTCTGTACTTAATCTGGTGACTGTGAAAGTTGATAGGGTTAGTGGCAAGTCAGTGGAGAATGGCCCATCATGGAATTATTAAAGCAGACAAGCACATTATCACTACGACAAAAGAACTTTACTGCAGTACCTTCCTCTCGCCACAGTATGTTTGCAACTGCAGCATCAGAATATTGGGAAAGCCAGAAAATAATCAGGAAAAGAAAAAAAAACAACAAAACAATGTCAAAACTTTCATTGCATCAAGTAACTGAATAAATACTCATGTTTACATGAACTGTTTAATTGGTGAAAATTTTGTAACATTCATTCACATAAAACACCAGGAAAGACATAGAGTTCTAAACACATTTGCTCCTTCTAGAGACAACTAAGAAACTTTGACATGGTAAAAATCCTTCCTGAAATGAAGGCAGCTGTGCAAAGATCAGTGACCTACTAAAGAGGAGCTGTTACCTTCAAATGCAGCTGCAGGTATGGTACAGCCTGTGCTTTTCTGTGCAGGTTCAGTGAGGAAACACAACATGGAATTATAGAATCATTAAGGTTGGAAAAAACCTCTAAGATCATCGAGTCCAACCATTAACCAGCACTGCCAGGTCCCCCAGCACCTTTCAGAAGAAGGCTGAGACTGGCAGCAACAGCAGCTACACCCTGGGCTGCATTGTCCCTTGGAACTTCATGCAACTGCATTCTTTCAGGACTCACATAAGCTTTGAAACTGCATTTGAATTTCTGTTCCAGATAGATCAAATTATTTCTCAACATACTGTAATTTTCCTTGCTCAAGTATTCAAGGGAAAATGACCAATATTAAGAAGAGTGCATAAATCTAGTTAATGAGGAATAGGATTATCTTTTCCAAAGATTTTCCTTGAAAGCCCATATTTATGGGTAACTTTGTTTCAATTCTTGCTCTATATTAGCAGCCAGGAAAGCAGTAAAAATCCCATTTGCACCTAGACTTTTAGTATCATCATAAACCCAGGTAATCTCCCAGGCAGTTAAGAAGGCAGAACTGGGAAAGATCAGGCCTCTGGGAGCTTTTCTGCTGGGACAAGTGATCACCTCCTTCAGCAGTTCTGTTTTGGGGTCAGTGTGGTCGAGATAACACTGCTGCACTCCTATGGGAGATGTGGGAAGAGCAGCTGGGAGGGTATTTGTCTTTGAGGTGGAAGACAACTTCACGCTGAGGGAAACCTATTTTGCCAGTCAGTGATGTAAAAACAGGTAAAATAAATAATTTAATCACAACATTTTTCAGACATCTAAATATTCAAGAATTTTGACTGGTAACTGGATTCAAAAGAAGCCTTATACAGAAATCAATGAGATTTATAGAATGTGACAAAATATTACATTTTGGATTCCCTGATAACTGAAACTATTGCCAATTTGTTACTCCAGTAAAGCTGTTACCCATCACACACCCAGCATACTTCTGGCACATGAAAGACACCATCTTCCTGGACAAGATTTTACCTTCTCTGCATGATTCCTACCCCAAAAAGTGTCCAATCCTCTGATCGAAGGGCATTCAGAACTGTCACTACCTTATGTAAGATCCAACTTACTGCATGCAATAGCCTGAACTAAATTATACTACATTAAATTACATGTATGCCATCACATTCCAACACCATTTGAAGAAAGAAATGGATGGAAAATTGAGCTTACGGGTCTTTCTTGCTGAATCTTCGATGAAAAGGGAAGATATGTCCTCGTCCACTCCCACCTCATTTTTGGCAATGCAGGTGTAGGCACCGGTGTCCTCATAGCGAACACTACTGATATGAAGTTCACTTCCGTTTGCTGCAAGAGAGACGCTCATAAACAGTGCTCCTCACTGCTGCTAATTGCTGTCCCTGCCTTAATTGTCTTCCATCGCCACAGCCACCCAGTGAGGGCCCAGCAGGGTGGTTCCACCCCACTGTGTCTCCCCGCATTTGACTGGAGGTTTTTGGGGATTCTCATGGGAGCTGTGTCTTGCTCCTTTCCACCAGCACACACGCGCTCCACACCACAAAAGAACAAAGAACAATCTCAAGTCAAAAGTATAAATTACATTTCATTTATTTCTTCTTTTTGTTAGAAAAGTGCTTTGGCTCTAGTGAAGAAAAATTAATTTCAGTTTCACAAACTGTTTTCAATCAGATCACCAAAAAATTTTGGTTTAAAGGGGTCTCTCTGTAGTTCCTCCTACCATTTTGCTTCCTGCAGTGGGACCAATGGCAAAAACCTTTGGAACGTGTTGAGATATTGTATGCATGCAGCAATATCAGTGCTACCAACACAAGCTGAAGGGCATAATCTACCAAAGCCAGACTGGGGCATGTGTTGAGGATGAGGTTAATATTTTTACACAGAAAATTGCAAATAAACGTTTTTGTCTTTTGCCATGCCTGTTGCACCCTCACTCGAACAGGGACCTAGAGGAGCTAAAACCCTGATTCCTTCAGGAGGGCCGAGTGGGAGACTGATTCTCAGCTGACTTGCATCCAGTGTGGGCTTAGACGTGAACAAATAATTTAATGAATTTCTCTTCAGATAATTTAATGAATTTCTTTTCTACTGTGCTGTACACAAGAAGCAAGGCAGTGAAGAAACAGGCAGGCTGTCTTTGAACAGAATGCAATTACCACTTACATCAATCAATAGTGTATTTCCCAGGAAATTCACAGGAGAAAGAGATAAAAAGAAAGAACAGGGGTTTTATAACACGATTTCCAACAACTGTGGCTTAGCAAAGTACAAGAACTTCTGCTTTAAAGTGCAAAATAATCCTCCTTAATCCCTGTCTACAATACTTTAATTAATCAAAATTCTGTTCTTACCGAGGAGCGATAGTTGTTTGGATAGTTTTGGCATGATATCAATGCCGTTCTTTAGCCAGGTAATTCGGGGATTAGGGATGCCTTCAGCGTGACATTTCAGGCTTGCTGACACGCCCGGCTCCTGCGCCTGCGTTTCGGGGTAGACGCGGATCACCGGAGGCACTGCGGGAAGCAAGGAATTGGGGACTTGAGACTGTGCTGGGGCTCCAGAGCCGCTGCTGTCCTGCAGAGCCACGAGGGGCTCTGAGCTGAGAACCACGGAGACAAGCTTGGTCTGGCTGTCAGTGCAAGCTACAAGAATGATTTCTCTACAGCTTGACTTCGGGGGCAGAAAATAGAAAATAATACTTTTCCAAGAATTGGCATATCAGAAGCTGAGGATGCCCCCATCCCTGGAAATGTTCAAGGCCTGGCTGGATGGGGCTTGGAGCAACCTGGTGTAGTGGAAGGTGTCCCTGGCCATGGCAGGGGGTTGGAATGAGATGGTGTCTAAGATCCCTTCCATCCTAAACCAGACTGTGATCCTATGACTCTATAACAGGGAGCAATCTTGCAGTCCAGTTCTGTATTTAGACTGTTCTTGCTTTCATTGAGTGACTAACTGAACTTAATAGTTGGATTAAAACCTAATGTGGGTACTCACTTTATATTTAAAAATTAAAGTATAAAGTTCAGATCTTCACTGAATCTAAGAGGGAAATTGAGTTCTTGCCTATGAAAAATAACTTAATCTTCAGTACTCAATTAAATATCCATCAGGAAGTGGACTGTGTATTCACTGTCTCTTATTCTGAACAAATAAAGTGTTTATCAATTACTTCTTTTCACTGAGAGGTTTTTAAAACATGACCTACCTTGTTCACGAAGGCACTCCTCAACTATTTAATATACTCCACTGGCAGAACTACTAATTATATTACAATTTCAGAGATGTTCATTGATTTTCAATCATCTTTCCTTCACTGCTCAAACCAACAAGGCTTAATACCACCCATTAACTCTTAACAATTTACTTACACACTTCAAAAAAAAAATGCAATATTGCAACATCAGTGATAGATACCAGTGAGATTCTTTCATCTTGAGGGAAAAATAAAAGGAAATATGAGGATGTCTCATACATGGCCAATGGTATTTGTGTTTCACAATGAAGCAGTCAGCTTTTCTATCAGATTAGGAGATTTTGGGATTCAGGATGTAGCTGCTGAAAGTTGTACAGTTTTGTAAAATCATGGCCAGAGTGCAATATGGATGTGTCCAGCCTGGATAGGATGCTACTAGTAACATTTTTTGAATGAAATGATCTAGTAAGTGAGGTCCATTGAAGGCAAACATTATTTATTTAGAGTAACAGCTGAAAGACAGTGTGCCTCCTACAAATAAAGATGAAAAAGATTTACAATATTCAAGAAGGTCTGATTCTCAAATCCTGAAATCAACTGACTTGGCTGAGATCTCACATGGCCAAAGGCACCAGAGAAATTTCACTGCAAGCCAAGTGTCTTCTCACCTGCCAGCTCTCACAGACAGAGCCCATCCCAGCCATCACCTATTTAATGCTCTCAAAACCACTGTGGGTTGTTAGTTCCTTAATATTGTTTGCTTTAGGCTTTCCTGCTCATCTGGGCAGCACTTCCCAGGCTGGCCACAGCCATCAGCTCCCCAGAATCAGGGAACCCCTTCACCAAACACACTGTACTTTCATCTCTCACATTTTTGCCTCACACCTTGATAGTCTGCACATGAATAATCCACCTATTTTACCTGGAGGGCTACAAACACAATAGATTTATACTGCCAAAGATAGCTCACAGGTCCTAGACATTGAACAATGCTCTGCATGAAAATTCACTTAAAATTATAGCAAGGTATCTTTTCAAGAGTGATTAATAAGGAAACTGTTTGTTTTCACCTACAAAGAATATGTGCTTCACCTCCACTTCTTCTCTCTTATCATTTTCCCTCTCCTTCTATTTTTAAACTTTTTATTTCTTCTCCCTTGTCTTACATAATTCACTGCACAGGTAAATTATTGCATGCAAATGCCTTGTGATAACAGCAAACTGCAGAATATATTTTTATTGTCCTTGCTACAAATTAATACATTCCAGGTATGCACATTAAACTTGCAAAGATTTCAGTTCCAGACGTTGGGATATATGGATTACCCTTTGCTTTTTCCCTTGGTGAATATATATCATTGCTAACCATTACTGTGTCTGCAGCCAAGGGCAATATAAAAATGCCATTATCTTAAGCAAAGTAGGAAGAAAGAGGCATTGAAACAAGCAGGAGATTGGGTAGATTGCCTACTGCTGCATACTGAGCAGCACCTCACTGGTGAGCAGACCAATTCATTACCATAAAACAGCTCAGGTGATAAAGCACACGATGAGCACAGATGGTGGCACCAAGGCCCAAAGACATCCATTGCTGCTGTAGGAGCTCTATACTCCAGGGTGTAGCAATAATTAACAGATTAATCATTTACTTGAGATGTTTTACTCTTTCCATTTATGATTTGAAAGGAGTTTGTAGCATTTTATTTTTCTGCTGAAAAGCCACATTAATGAAATATCCATGTTTGTAACATCTCTCTTTCACAAATTTTCACTGGAAAATTTGTCCTATTGGAACCTTATAATTGGGCTGAGGATCAAATGGCTTTTTAAAAATTGTTTTCAAAGAATACAATATTCTGATTTATGCTGATGTTTTGCTGAGTGCAAGGATCAAGGAAAATGATGCCCTACACTCAGCAGTCTCTTGATTTGGCAACTATCAATTTTCATAGTTGATTACTATTTTATGAGATTCTTTATCCTCAGGACCTCTTTTTTCCTTCTGAAAGTGCTAAATTGCTTCCTCCCTACAGTTAGTGTACACATTTCCCAAGCAATATCCATACGTGGGAGAAAACAAAATTTTCTGACTGTTCTTGGCTCCTCCTGATCAAAGATACCAGAATGCAAGACGGACTTTTCATTCTTAAACCATTTAAACATTGCCTTTCAGCAGTTTCTTTTCATCCAAAGATCTTAAGGGCAAGCTGCATAAATACACTGACTTAAATTTTACTAGTAACTGTGAATCCTAAGACTGATGAGCTCCATCAAACCTCTCCCATCAAACAGGCTGCATTTCACATGTGCTTCGTGCTTCATGCCCAGATGTGAGCCAGCAGGTTGGGGCATTCACCTGGTGACCTTCACATTTTCTGCCTCTGCTTGTCAAAATAAGCACCTGAATCTACCCATGTTATTTGGGATATCCTGAACCATCTGACACAAAGGGAAACACTGCACAACATTCAGCAGTTGAGCAACAGTAGAGCACGAAATCTCAGAAACGTTTAATGTTGTCAAAATTGGGCTGCAAACTTTCTATTTAAGCTTGTATTTCCTTATTTTCTATATTACCTAATCAATGTAAGAATCTAGCTTAATGTTCTAAAAAGAGGCAAAGATAAAAATAAGTTAAGGCGCATCTAATATGTTGAATAAAAGCAGAGGAAGAGAGTACATGTAACTAAGATCAGATTCTTTTGTGAGCTCACTGATGTGTCTTAGTGGGAACAGTAAGACAGGGCCCAGGTGGTAGGGGAAAGGACCCAAGGATGCCACAAGAACTACTGCAGCTTTGAAAACACTGAATTAACTGAAAAACAGCCTAAAAATTAGAACCTGCCTGTAGAGACACAGCGGGCTTGGGAAGGGTGGGGGATAAATCCTTTTATTTTCCAGCTGGATCTTCTTTCTCTATTCTCTCTCAACAGACAAACTTGGGAGATGTGAAAAGAAAAATTCTGATAATTTTCACGAAATAAAAAGCACCCATGCTTTTGATGTTGAAAGTAGATCAGTGCCTCCCTAGAGGAGACAGGCGAGCAGATACACCCAAGTTCTGGCTGATTTGCTTCTGTCACATTCTCTTACCATTTAAGTCCAACACAAGAAAGCAACAAAAACCCTTCCAAGCTGAAGATGGAGTTTTTAGTTTGATACAGACAGACAGAGACAAGTCCCAGTGCTGAACAGAGCCCATCAACTACACTTAGATTCTCAGCATCTTCACTCAATTCAGTTTGGCTCAGTTTCTTCCCTCTACTCCCGTCAAGAAAAATTCCTCAATTTGTCCTTTAAGTTACTAAAACTGAGGTTTCCCTGTGAAAGGCTCTGCCTTGGGAACCCTCCAATGCATTTTAAGGCAAACAATGCTATCCTGCCATCAGGGCTGTCACCCCTGCATCAACTGCTGGAGGAAACTGTGACACAGGCAGAACAGGAGGGAATATACTGATGTGGGCAGCCACATCAAGGATTGCAAAAACCCAGCTTTGCAAAGCCTAATGGCTCACATGGGAATATCAGATGCTGTGAAGCAAAGATTCCCAGACCCTGCAGTGTTTTCCAGCAAGCCTGAGTTGATATCAGAATGCAAGGCTTTTTATTCTGTATTTAGTGACTATATAGCATATTAAAAAGCCCACACAGATAGTGTTTTTTGTATAACAGCATTCTTCTTTTGGTAAGAAAGCCCCCATGCAGCTATGGTATGAAACTTCCACTTAAAAAGAAAATGTGATCTTTCAATAACAAGTTAAATCTAAGTGGCAAGCGTGAGTATGGAACAGATCACCCCCTCCCCACACTCCATCCAGCTTTCCTCTCATTCTGGTTTAAGTTTCAATGCCTTTGGGCCTTCTATTCTCAGTGCTGATAAAGTCTACATTGTTGTCTGCCAACTAAACTCCATTCAGGCCTCATAATACATCACATAATAGACATGGGATTAAGTTGTTAGCTGGCTTTTCTTTCAACTGCCATCCATCACACAAACAGCACTTTGAGGAAGGAAACCTATTTTCTCAGCTGCAGCATACATGACTTAGTTATCCACATTCCTGAGATTTACAGTTTACTTTCTCAAAAGATGACAAATTATTATGTAGAGACATCAAGTCAGCTTTCATTCAGATCAACCAGATGCTTTGTGCTCACATCCAGGTACTCGTGTGGTGGGGGGAGCACTTACATATGTCCAGCAAACCTGGGCTGAAGTCAAAACAAAATCTCAAAACAAAACCACCATGGCTCTTCTTAAGAAGCACAAGTATCCCTCTTTACTGTTTCTCCTCTCACTACTGACCTCTGTGTCAGTAGTGAGAGCAGGTCAGCTCCGTCACCTCTGTGACCTGCTCTCACCAGAGGAAAGCTCTCCTTTGTGCAGGTCAACACACACCTAGAGAAAGGAATAAATACTAGTTTTCCTTATAATATATATACCCTGAAATAAAGTTACTGATTTTTTCTTAAAAATAAATACTTTCATACCAGAGTACATCCCATAGTGTACACCCCATTTCATACCAGAATGTACCCATAGTTAGTAATGGTGACTCTGTCCCCTGCTCTGGAGACACTGCTGGGCATCATCAGCACACGTGAAAAGGGTTGGAAGTTGGAGAATGCTGGTTGCTGCTGTGGAGGTGGATACTCTGTGGGCTGGTCCCCTGATGAAACGCTGGCTTAATCTAATGTAATTTTAAACTAAATCTGACTGAGTGAGTCTGAGGTCAGGAGATAGATAGTGAGCACCTGAATATCAGTTCCACCAGGCACAAATGTAGTCCAGGGGATGGAGGTGCATGAGAATGCTGGATTGTGTGATTCTCTCACCTGTAAAATGATTTGCCCTCATTTTGCAATCCAGTGAGCCAGGGTAAACAGCCCTCAGCAAACCAAGCTCAGTACAACCAGGTAATAACCTGGATATATAGCTGGAGGTTAGCTGGTTTTGGAAACACTGTTGTATTTATTTAAATATCCTGGGCTATTTCATGCAACAGAAACTATTTTCTGGAAGAAGAAATTATTGAGGCAACACTTCTGTTGACAAAAGTAGTAATTACTTGAAGAGATGCTTGGAAACGCTGCTCTTAACTCTATGAAAATGTCACTGACAGCTTGTTTAATGGTGAAGATACCTCCTGAAGCTCAGGTAATTATACACATCTCCCCTTGATACTTTTATTTTTGACTGCTTGTGTGACAGTGCCAGTGAGCAAACCCCAAGCTGCATTTGCTCTCATGCACAGATAATTTGGGCTGTGGCTTTACAGATCTCTGTGTGAATGAGGTTAACACACAACTTTTCTTACAGAATGTTTTCATGGAATGTCATATATACCATTTACTAACCATTCACCTGAAGGATGTGGGTCTGATACAGCTCTTCATAGCCGTAGGCATGACAGGTGTAATTGCCCATGTGAATAGTTGTTACCTTGGTGATGTAGAGGGAATCATCTTCTCCAAAATCCTGAATGGAACAAAAGACAGGAAAGGTGCCTTATTATTTAGTAACAATATTTTAAGCACTACATGAATGGATACTACCTGTTCAGAGGTTTTGATAGCAATGCAGCCTGGGGGCACAGCTTGAATTTTGAACAGTAGGCTATAAAGTTCATAAATCAACACGCAGGGAGAAAATGAGCAGCGATTTAAGAGAAAGGTAAAGTGACTCATCTGAGAATATGAACTTTTGTGCTTGTTGCTAACAAGGTGCTTTTTGCACATAAAAAAGATGGCCATTTCCAGCTGTTTAATTTATGGGGGAATTTAATATCTACCTGTTAACCTCAGATGCACAAAATGCTAACATTTGGGTGGGTTAAGGTTTCCTTTATCTCTGCTGGTTCTTAGAAAATGCACTGCAGCCTTGAGACTTGATGAAAAAGAACTAAAGCTCTTTGTCACTTATCTCAGACAACATCCTAGGCAGGAGACAAGGAAGAAGACAAAAAGCCTTTTCTCAAACATACCTGTTTAGTTCTGTAACTGTTTAACAAGTATCTTTCTTCATCCCCTTCATCTTTCTAGACCTGCTCTTGCATTGTTTCAATTTTTGATTACAGATGGGAAGGATTGAGTTATTACACACATTTTTGGCACTTAAATAAGTTGTACAAGCACGCTACTCAGGAATTTATTTCAATTCATTATTTATTTGTTAATTTCCATGTTTATTTACCAAACTGTAGGTAAGAGAACCACAGCAGTGATGGCTAAATGAAGCAGCTTCTCTTGCTACTCCACCAACCTTCAGACCCTCTGCAGCTTCAGAGTGTTTGCGTTTCTACGCAAATGGAGGAGGACACATTTTAAAACAGTTCATGAGCTGAAAGAAAGATTTTTCTGTAATCATCCTCAAATGTGAAGTATGCTACATTGAACTCTTTAAGTAATTTCACTGCAATATTATGGGAAAATTCAACTTTGAGTCAGGGTGGCACAAACCCAGTACAGCAAGGTGAATGTTGGAGAGTGGTTCTGCTTATGAAAACACAAGGACTTGTTTTCAAAGCTCCAAGGAGCAGCTGGAAGGCAGCCTGGGGTGTGCAGGGGAAGCCCCTCCAGGGGTCCTGCCTGCTGCCACCCCCGTGTCTGGGACACGCAGCAGTGTGTGCAGTGAGGAGGGGACAGCTCATTCCTCCTCTGCCATGGCAGAACCCACCAGCGGGGACAGATTAAACAGGAACATCACTTTGATCTGCTGGCTTGGAGTCAAGAACCTGGGTCCTGGTTTTTCTGTGTTGGAGGAAGGGAATCCACACACAGAAGCTCTGACACTGCTCCTTCCCTGCTGCACCCACGGCAGCTCCAGTGCTGTAAGGAACCATCCACAGCCACCTGCTGCTGCCAACCCCTGCCCAGGACCCAGAGATCACAGGCAGGAGCTGTTTGATCAGCACACGGGCTGACTTCTGAACCCAAACCTTTTGGGGCTCCTTACATCTCACATTTCCTGCCTCTTCAGGGTGCATGTGCTTTGCAGTTTGAACCTTCCTTTCCAGACACCACACTTTGAACATTTTTTGAAGGAAGCTGTGATTCTGCAGCAGACGTGCAATGCCAGCTGGCACCCTTCAAGAGAAGTACAAAATAGCCCGTCTCCTGCAGTATGGATTGATCTGGCACTACTTCTGTCAGCTCATGAATCTTCTCCAAAATCTTCTGTCTGGCACTAAGAAGCATATTCATGCCTCACCTCTCAGTGGCAGGTCATCACTGGTGGGGGGGAGAGAATTCTGAGAGCTTACCTAGTTTTTAGACATGTTTTAAGGCAGCACTGAGCACTGAGAAATCAGGAGTTTACTGGCAGGACACAACCCTTCCCAAAGCACAGATCTTCACCTGAGAGGGCACAGACATGCCCACAATCATGACCTGGTTCTACTGGCCTGGCTGTACTGCTCCAATGGGCAAATGTATGAACAATTATAAAGAATCGGAGTAAATCCATAGATTATCTGAAATCCATTATCTATAATCAAAAGCACCTCAGATATTATTGTCACCTTGGTGTCAGGCATCTATGCTATGGGATAAGCTGGTTAAGTTTTCCAAAACATTATTACAAACATGTACTCAAAAATCCTCATTTCAAGCATTTGCCTGTTTTTTGGTCAGTTAGATCTTTCCTGATGGAAAGCAAAGATGCATGAGTACCTGCTAATGGAAAAGACACCAACCCTGTTCAAATGGTATTTGCATGAGATACAGAATATTCTTGCACTGGAGGGGACTTAATAACAGTTTTTGTAAGTTAAAAGAAACTAAAATTGAGTTCAGATTAATAAAAGCAGGATGGCTACTTTAATAGAATAATTTGGACTAAGGAGTTGTGGAAAAACAGGACAATATAATCTTCTTTATTTAAGTATGTTACTGCCTTTAAAATATCACAGAAAAATATTCTGAATGCTTGGTTTGTGCTCTGTAATTGTCTTTTTAAGGGTGATCTGTTTTTTTCCAGTGCATACAAATGTATTAATTAATATAAGCAAAAAACCCTTGCACAACTGAACAGTGCAACACTATTGTGTTATTAACTTCCTTTCCAAATGTGTTTTTCTTGAAAAGAGACGCTTATATTGGTAAAAGCACAGTTTGTGACTTTTAAAATTTATTTTCTGACTTCTGGTGTTTAAAGAAAGTTATCAAAGATGATTTAGGTCAGCACCATGTCCCCATGTCAGGCATAGAAAGGAATTATCACCCCTGTATTAGAACCTGCTCGCACAATAAGTTCATATATAACTACCAAATTATTAAGAATTGAAAGTGTTTGGGAGTGGGAAGGAAAAAGAGATTGTGGCATTAAATGTTTTAACACTGAACCTTTTGTTGCTGCAAAAAGTAGACTGAATTCTCTAACTAATTGATGACTTTCTGTGTGTTTATTGCAGCTCACGGTTTTCTCCTCGTGTTTCCCTGTGGACATAGTTAGTACATTAGGATTGCACTGTTACATTTTATATCTATGGATGCATTCTTATGCACAAGCACTTTCTTTGTGTATTTCATAAGGGTGTATTTGGAAGTGCTGTAAAAACCCAAGCCCTGGAGCATTAAGAAATGATGAGTCTTTGATTCCTTAATAGCCTCTAACTCCACATCTTGCAGTCAGGAGAGCTGTGTTGCAGTTGGAAGCTGTGAGACGTGTTTGGGATGTGTCCCACGTCCCCCTCCGTGGTGCACTGCCTCTGGGAGCTCAGAGGGGCTGCTCACAGGCCACTGCCCTGTGCTAACAGGGTGTGAGTGAGCACTGACAGCCGCTGAGCTGCTCTCCGCTCTGCTGCCATGTGCATGGCGTGGGCAGAGGGAATGGGAGTAATTCACCACGGGAAAAAGCAGAGGAAATATTTTCACATATTTTGACTCAGTTTAGATGGCTTTTGCTTGTTAAGCCAGTTCTCCAAGCCACCACAAGACTGAAAGCAGACAGAGCAGAACAAAAACATCTATAAAACTGATGCAGCATAATTCTTCTCTCCACAAATATATCCCCAGTTTTAAAACAGTATTTTGGGGCTCTCTGGGAAGCTCAGCAAGTGCTGCACACACAACAGCCCAGGGAGCTGTTGCTGCCCCACTTGACCCCAGTAATGCCCCACAGTGAAGTGAAAAGACATTTAAATGTACGATTCCATGAAGAAGAACAGGCAATTAGCAGAAAGGCAAAACCAGCAACTTCTGGGACTTTGGTTTTCCTCATTTGCCACGGAAGGCGAATTATCATGGAATCATGGAAAGGTTTTGGTTGGAAGGAACCTGTAAGCCCATATGGTCCAACCCCCCCTGCCATGGGCAGGGACACCTTTCACCAGCCCAGGTTGCTCCAAGCCCTGTCCATCCTGGCCTTGAACACTTCCTGGGATGGGCTGTCTCTGGAATGGATGTGGGTGCTCGGGGATGGGGTATCTCACCATTTTTTTGTGAAGAGGAAGAAAGAGAAGTGAGAAACTAGAGGAAATACCCATCTCACTCCACAGAATCATAAGCCCTGCATCAAAGCAGCCAGATAAGGGCAGGGTGTTCATCATCTCTACCTTACGCATTTCATTATAAAGTAATTTTTTGAATAAAAAAATTCAGAAAGCTATGCTTATAATTTCTCATAATTGATAAAGTCAACTAGTGGCAGCTGATAAATTGACTTCTCTGTTTGTATCACCTTTTTTCTCCGTTTTTCAAATAAAAGTTCTCTGTCCTTCATGAGCTCATGTCTTGCATTTACCCTTCAACCAAATGATTGATTAAATGACCTCAGAATATGTTTTAACTTTTTAAGATTTAAAAAAATGCATCACCCTGAATTTTACATTGATAACAGCTTGGTAATCTATACAATATTAAAAAAAAAAAGTTGCTCTAAAAAAATAACAACGCAGATCCTAGAAAATGGATATATACATTTTTGTTGGTACAGTATTTCCTTTCCTTTCCATCACTACTGATTACCCGAGGCATTGGTCTTTCCAAACACAGATTTTTCATATTTATTTATCCCATTCCCATTCTAATGCATTCCCTGGTCATGCACTCTGCCACGGTTCAGGGACACCGTGCTCAGAGATGTGTAAAACATTGCATATTACTTGTAAATCTTGTTCACATTCTGTCTCAAGTGAATTCCAGCCTGTGATTGTAACACCACAAATCTCCTGCTCTGACACTCAGGAAGGAGCTGGCAGGGAGGAGCCACATTAACCCTGGATGCTGAGCTGGCTGTGATGCCACAGGGTGCAGGGCACTGCCACCCACCTTTTGCCTGTTTCAGATGCATTTTCATGAAGCTTTCTGACATGCCTTAGGGTTGCTCCAACATTTTAAACCCTTTAAATTTTTTGTCGAAGTTTCTTGGTTTTCAGGAAGTTTGAAGAGTAATGAGCACAGACACTTATTTATTTTAAGTTTTAGTTAACTTCCAGATGCTTGAGAAAAAAACCTAAAGTTGACTTCAAACCATAAACA